TGCTGCTGCTGCTGCTGCTGCTGCTGCTGCTGCTGCTGCCGCCGCCGCCGCCGCCGCCGCCGCCGCCGCCGCCACCCTGCAAGTCTCTTGTCTTAATACCCTTTCACACCCTAAAAGTAATTGCAAGTATGTTCCTATGTGCTTGTGTGAGTTTTTCCTGAGTTCTGAGAGCAATTGATCTCTGAAGCCCAAACATTGTGAGCCCCCGAAGTAGATGACTCTTTATTAGTTCCTTCTTGGCATTCAGCAAATATTTATTGAGAGTCAGCTATGTGTTAAGCTCTTGGGATTTAATGACAGTGAGGACAGAGACAAGTTCTTTGCAGTCTCATAGAGATTACTCACCCAAACACTTCAGAAAATGACAACATGCATGAAGGAAAGAAAGCAGATGGTTGGTAAATGACTGAGACAAGGTGTGGCTTTCTGACTTTATTTATTTATTTATTTATTTATTTATTTATTTATTTATTTATTTATTTATTTATTTATGTTTTTTTCCAGACAGGGTTTCTCTGTATAACAGCCTTGATTGTCCTGGAACTTGCTTTGTCGAGGAAAAGGCTGTCCTCGAACTCACAGAGATCCACCTGCCTCTATTTAAAATTTATTTTATGTTTATGAATATTTGCCTGTATGTATGTGTGTGTACCACATGCATGTCTGGTTCTTGAGGATTCAGAATAGGAAGGCCTTTCCCCTGGAACTGGAGTTAAACGTGCGTATAAACTGCCATGTAAGTGCTGGGAATTGAACCTGGGTCCCTGGAAGAGCAGCTAGTGCTTTTCACTGTTGAGCCATTCTCTCTTGCCCATTCTCTGACTATTTTTGGAGAGTCATTATGACATAGAGGAAAATGTGTTGATGTGCTAATATTCGGCACCTCACAATATGACCTTACATGGATATATGGTGTTTGTGGATGTTATTAATTTCAATGAGGTTACATTTGCAAAAGGTATTGTCTTCATAGCAACACAGCACACACCTTAAAGGTGATAAGAGATAGTCTATTCCGGGCTTGAGAGATGGCTCAGTGGTTAAGGGCACTGGCTGCTCTTTCAGGGGTCACAGGTTTGGTTCTGAGCACCCACATGGAGGCTCACAATCAGCTCTAGTTCCAGGGGTTCCTTGAGTGCCAGACACACACATGGTGAACATACATACAGGCAAAGCACTCATATGTATGACATAAAATGTTTTGTTTTTTATAAAGAGAGAGAATGGGGCTGGAAAGATGGCTCAGTGGTTAAGAGTACTGGCTGCTCTTCCAGAGGACCTGGGTTCATATCCCAGCACCCACATGGCAGCTCACAACTGTCTATAACTCCAGTTCCAAGGGATCTGACACATTCCCACCAACGTACATGAAATAAGTTTAAATAAATTTTAAAAAAGATAATTTATTCTGGAGCCAAATATGAATGCTCATGGTATAGGAACACAGAGTTAATACCCCGAAATTCATGTCCCATTGTATTAGCATTTGATGAAGTTTTTGTAGTAACTGAACAAAGTCATAAATCAAGACACCTGAAAATAGACTGCAGAAGACATTGAGGGATAGCCAAGTGGAGACATCCTAATTCTAGGCCTGATAAGCTACCTGATGATACTTGTAGGTGAGTAGCAGAAACTAAGGTTTTATTAAGTTAATGCATTTCAAAAAGTTTTACGTCAGTCCCAGAATGTTCAGCCTGACGCAGAGGTGGGCAAGGCGTGGCTATTTAAGGGGCCAATGATAGCCCACGATAAACGGTAATTAGGCTCTGGACCCGCAACATCCCAACTTCTCCGCAATGGCTAAAATCCTAATCAGTTAACCAGCTTCGCAGAAGGTTCAGTAGAAGCTGCAGCTTCTTCCTGGGCACTTTCATTCATAAGGCAGGGCACACGGGACCACAGGTCAGAGGGTGGAGGAATGCCACCGAAAGCCGAGGAGCACCTGGGATCGAGAGCCACTGCCATGAGCGGCTAGCAGCAGGGAAAGGCTCTACCCAGGCTCCCAGGAGGTGCACGGCTTCGATTTCAGATTTGTAGCCTCTAGAACTGTGAGAGAAATGCATTCTATTGCTCAGGGCACCCACTTGTATTTACTGCAGCCCCTATGAAACTAATACAGGTGTCTTTTAAATTTTAACTAATTAATCAATTTAACAGGGTCTTACTGTGTAGTCCCAGCTGGCCTGGAACTCACTGATAGACCAAGCTGGTCTCAAACTCAAAGAGATCTGTCTTCCTCTGCCTCCTGAGCACCCGTGACTAAAGGCGTGCGCCACCCAAGCTCGGTCTGCAGAATGCACTTTTAACCACTGAACCACCTCTCTGGCCCCCACAGGCAACATTTGATATTTCACTTTATTTTATTTTGAGACAGTCTTGCTATGCTGTCAAGGCTGGTGTGTGATACCACACCCAGCTGCAGGTATCATTTGAATGAGGCTCCAGGGGTGGACAAGAAGCCACTACATGAAGATTCAGAAGGAAGAATGCCAAATCGGGGACGAGAATAATGTCTGGGGAGTCAGCTGGAGTTAGGGCAGTGAGATAGGATGTGTCACTGGGAAGCCAGGCTGGTGCAGGTCTTGTAGGACTTTGCACGGGAAGGGAGCTAAGCGCCTTCAGTAAACTCAGGAGGTGGATGTGTCTTCTGAATGACAGCAACAGCTGTCAGGAGTCACCTAGTGTCACAGAGGACAGGAATCTAGGCTGTATGGGTTGCAATAAATACCAATGCCGACGTGAGATGACAGAGTCAAGTCTGCATCTTCCCACCCTGCCCTTGACCTTACTACACGGTCACGGTCAACGCATTCCAGGGCACTGGCTTTGGCCTCCGGGGTCAGGCAAGGTTAAGGGGTACATGACATTTTCTTTCACCTCCCCCCAAGTCTTTCTCCACCCCACTCTCCCCACAAACAATCTAAGTTAACATAAGCCGGAAATGCAGCTTGCAGATAAGCCCTCCACCCACTCCGAGGAGCAACGTACTGTACAGGAGCAGGAGCAGAGCGGAGACAGACCTAACTAACCAAGACCATAAAGTTGAGCCTTCCACGCGGCCCGAGCCCGGGGGAAAGCGCAGGCGCAGGCGCGGGCCCCACCCT